AATCTTCCTTAAAAGGATGGGGATCGATAGCATTTGTAGCAAGCTGCTCAAAACAGTCGGTCTTTTAGCTGTACGCCTTGATTTGACTAACCTACGACTGAAAAACCACGAAAAAATGAGTATTTTTGACAAAAATCTGATTCCCAAAAAAAACCGAGCTACCCCCTTACAAAAAATGAAAAAATTTGTCAAAAAATAAATCTTCCTTAAAAGGATGGGGATCGATAGCATTTGTAGCAAGCTGCTCAAAACAGTCGGTCTTTTAGCTGTACGCCTTGATTTGACTAACCTACGACTGAAAAACCACGAAAAAATGAGCATTTTTGACCAAAATCTGAGTCCCAAAAAAAAACGATGTATCTCCTTATAAAAAATCCGAAAATGGGTCAAAAAAGAAATATTCCTTAAAGTGATGGGAATCGATAGCATTTGTAGCAAGCCGCTCAAAACAGTTTAGCTGTACGCCTTGATTTGACTAAACTACGACTCAAAAACCACGAAAAAATTAGCATTTTTGACCAAAATCTGAGTCCCAAAAAAAACCGATGTACCCCTTTATAAAAAATCCGAAAATTCGTCAAAAATTGAATGTTCCTTAAAGTGATGGTGATGATGATTTTCACAAAACCAATCTATTATCATACATTTTTTAATTTTAAAGTCCTTAAGATTAATAAAATGAGTGGAAAGTTATAAGCTCTGTCTCCCAACCAACTTTATTGACTAAATTCGTTAGCTCAACAAAACGGTCAATAAAAGTGTGTATCCCCAAAGTCCGATACATAGAGACTCCGGTTTCTCCGGGTCCTTAATCATTTCGAATTTTTCGAAAATTCCTGCTGGACATTGGCCGTTATCTCTCGTCCGGCATTTGACGCCGTATAACATTTTTATTGCCCTTATATTTAGCTGTCCAGACTTTGGGCCCATCCCTCGCCGGCGGCTGTTGTTGTTGATGTTTTTTGACTCCATTCCATTGAAATGTTGAATTTTTATGACACTTTTGCGTTGCGTTGCTTTGCTGCAAATATGCAAATTTAGCCCCCCCCCCCTCATCTGCTGCCACGCCTATATTCCATACGCCTCCATGGGCTGGCTACTGGACAGCCCCCCAAATAAATTTATTTGAAAATTCCCGTGTTTAAGTTTTTACGCGGCCAGTACACTGGGCAAATTTTAAAGAGATTTAATGGGAAACGAATTTGTAGTTTTGTAAAAAAATAAAAAATTCTTGAGCTCTGGATTTTAGTAAAACCCTTGGCAACATTCCAACTATTACAAATTCACACATTAATATGCGATGAGAAAGGTTTTTTCTTTGGGTGTAAATCCAGGATCTGGTGGGCGGACAGGGAAGGCGGTGAAAAGGAGGCGTGGCGGGCTGGCAGTGAAAATATTTATGCATTTGGCCGTGAGGCAGTTTAAAAACTCAGCTGATGAGAACTGGGAGGTGGATGGGTGTTGGGTGATTCTACGGCTAATAGCTGGCAAAGGAAATTTGTTTTTTTTCGAGGGGGCTGAGGTTCGACGCTTCGACTTTTTCGGTTGACTCAAAACTTGAGCTAAGATAAAAGTCATAAAGTTTGTCTCCTGTACTCAGAGCAACTTTCTTCCCCGGGCGCCACTTTTGGCATTATGCCCTCTGAACTCCAGTAGGTACTGGAATAAAATTCAACTATTCAAGATTAAATTAAAATTTGGTTTTATTTTGGTTACAATGTGTTGATACCAAATTTATCTTTCCGAAATAAATTAGTATTTTTAAAGCAAAAGTATATAAAATAATATGTGGTAAATAATTCAGTTTAATTTTCTTGATTTTTAATTATTTAATGATGTTTGTTATAACGATGATTACCATGTTTATTTGTAATACCTTTACATTCTGACTTTATTTTAGTGTTCTTGAATTTAAATCAATATTTTGGGTTATGTTTCATGAAAGAAAATCTATTTGAGGTACAAAAAAGTAACAAGCTAATAATATTAATATTGTATCTTTACCGTAAAATAGTTAGCAAAGAATCAAATTTTATAAGAAGTATTCATACCAGAAGATTATCAACATTTGATTTATAAAAGAAAATCTATTTCAGGTACTAAAATGTAATATGCTAATTAAAAAAAATTATCTATTTTTGTGTGTTCCATCTTTACCACAGAAAAGTTTGCAAAGAATCGAATTTAATGATAAATATTCAAACTAGAATGATAATCACTATTTGATTCAAACAATAGATAAACATTTGCCCACCTTTGTGCGGTGGCCATCATTTCAGCATTAAGCAATTTCAATTTTCTATTTTCCATCGGGGGAAATTCGAATGTGGCAGGCAAAGAAAAGCCAACGACAAAGCCGAGAACTTTAATTAAATATCCATTTCCGTTGTGGCATCCGTGTGTTTGTTGTTTGCCTGTGTATTAGTCGGTCTTTGATCTGTCAAATGGCAAAGCACGCAAAAACAAAAGTGGAAAAGCCACAGGAAAACTCATTTACTTGACCAGCAAGGAAAATCTAGTAGGGGGGGGGGATGGATGTAGAAGTTTAGTTTGGGTAGAAAGAAGAAGGGCGCCGCCGATAACGTATGCATCACACACTGACAAGATATATGATGGCAAACTTTTGCTTTCTGTCGCTTGCCGCTCGCAGGCAAATGGTAAAAGTTTGATATCCCCCCTATCTATGCCATCCAAAGGCCCCCCTTTGTCCCGCCCCTGACTTTCACCATGCGTGCCATTTGAAATCCTAATGGCAGCCAAGCTTAAGCCAAGAGCTGGGGAACTGCTGGAAATCCAGAGCAAAAGTCTGACTGGAGGCCTCATAATTGAATGTTTTTGGTCACTGCAGCAGGGTGGCCAACCAAACAACCAACCCCAACTTTCAACCCCCAGGGGGCAGAGGTCAGGGGCCCGGCCAACAAGGGGCCAAGGACAAACTGTTGGCTAACTAATTTAAATATCATGAATTTAACATAAATATGTATATATATATATAAAAATGGCAAGTGGCAAGTGCGAGCGGCAGTGAGACAAAAGGTTCCGGGGACCATATCTCATAGCCCATATTTCATATCAGAACGATCTGGTGACCCCTTTTGTTGCAACATTTTCCTTTCTGCTTGTTTTTCCTTCTTTTTTTTTGCTGTTTTTCGTTGAAGAACAACAGCAGCCGAAAATAAATGCGAAATGTTGGCCAAAATCTGCATAAGCAAATAGTGTGCGTTCTTAGGGGATGGAGATGGTATGGGATGGTATGGTATGGGGTGCTATGGGACCTCCTCATTCGCCCAAGTCCAAGTCCATTGTACGTGATGCTTCGATGGGGGGAAGCCCGGAGAACCAGCAAAACAAAACTTTCAATGGACCGGCAAGTCAATCTCCCAAAAAGCCAACTAGATGGGGATGCTATGTATGTGTCTGCCTTTTAATCAAAACCAACTGCCAGTGCAAAATATTGTCTTACCCCAGCATAGAATAAAAATCAAACCGATCGGCATTCCCAAGACTTTCGTTTATGTCCGTATGTCCAAAAAAAGAGGAGAGACATTAAAGGCAAATAAATAATTTTGTCTTTGACTTGGCCTCTTGGACTTTTTCATCGGTCTTGGGCTTGTAATAAATTTCAAGTTGTCTCTGGCGCTGAGTTATCCCCACTTTGGACCCACTCCCACTTCCGATTAACCCACCCGCTGTCAGTCTGCTTTTTTAATTTTATTTTCGTCGTGCTCTACTTTTAGTCCCCAGCTAAGCCGGAAGGGATCAAACGGTTTTCCCAGCCCGGCAACACAAAAAAATGAGCCAGAAAGGAAAGAAATAACATTTCGACAGCTGGTGGGGTTGGTGGGGGGAGGGGGGGCTTCTCCTTTGGGTCAATGAGCATCAGAGGTTGACTGCATAATTTATGAACATAAATGGGCGTGACAAGGGATTAGGGGCGGGGCTGGGCGACTGAGGGTCAACTAATGACCTGGCGCACTGCTAAATGCATGGAAATTGTCTGCGCCAGAGCGAATTACAATTAATTGGAAATATGGCTTAGCCCGGAATTAGCCCGGGTGGTGGGGACGGTTTTCCGGATTGCCAGCCAGCGTGTTAAGTCTTCGTGAAGGCAATTGAAAAACGGAAAGAATAATTATGGGGCTCTGGCACAAAGATAAAGATTCGCCATGGAACTGGGACATCTCCCCAGCATATTGGAGTTCTCAAAAGCCATACATAATATTTACAAAAGAGTAAAGAAACCCTATCTAAGTCGGATAAGAAAATATGTCTTTAATAAAAATAATTTTCTGTTATGAAAATATGGTATGTTATAAGATCGTACTAGAAAAAAAAGCAACTAATATCTCTGAATACGTTTTATAATAATTCTCTGAATATCTAGAATGTCCTTCCCATAATAAAGTTTTCAAAAACCTTAAATAGTATTTAGAAAGAAGTATCCTAAAAAAACTCAGCTTAAGTAAGTTAATAAAACTAAATGCATATAGTGGAATACGATGTAGTTAATAAATCATAATGATTATTATATGATGTAGTTATAATGTGTTTTAATTACCATTTAAGTAAGTTGAATATAATATTTATAATATAAAATACTATATACTTATACTACTTAAATAATGTGAGTATTTATTATTTCTCCAGCAATCCATTAATTTCTAGTCAGTGGATCGTTCTTAATGTTCATTCACTAATATATCTGTTTTAATGATTATTATTATCTCTAAAAAAATCCTTAAAGTAAGTTAATAAATAAGTTTGTTTGTCATGTTTTGGTTTACAATTTTTAAGTAGCAAGTAGTTTATATAAGATTTGCGTTTACTACTTCCGCTTACCATACCCTTTTCCATTAAAATATCTAAATGGGGTTTCCAAAATGATTAAGTAATAATCAGATCCAACTATTTATAATTTCCAGCAGATCACATAGCCCGGGTGAAAAATGCTCGGAACTTCAAGCCATGAAAAAGCAGCTTTGGGCAAATCAAAACGAATCGTTGGAGCTGACACACACACACCCCTTTCGGCCCTTAAAGTATTAGTTAAAAATTCCAACTAAAAGGTTCAAAATAGTTACAGAAATTTTGTTAAAAATTCCATTGCTTGCCCAAAAAAAAAGAGACCACAAGTAGCTTGGCCAAAATGACCTCCACATTGGTGCTCCTGATCGCCAGCGTTGTGCACTTCGGGATGCGCGGCAGTTGCCTCCTGGACATCGAGCGATTCCCTGTGATTCCGGGCACCGTCTACGCCGGTCACATCGCCTACTGTGCCATCCTGCACTTCCTCCACGACATGGAGGTCCTGCCCATCCGGTATCGCCGCCGGATGGGCTGGCTGACCGCCTTCCTGGTCGAACTGGTGCTGGGCGTGGCCTTCATGGAGGTCCTGGCCCTGTGGCTCTGGTGCAGCGTGGAGCACATCGTCCACCTGACCCTCCAGTTCGTCCTGCGGCGCTACTTGGGCATGTCCACCGAACTCTATCAGCGCTGGGAGTGGGCCATCATGGGTGGCCTGATGACCACCCTGGCGGCCCTGCTCTGGCTGAATGCCTTCGAGGCCACGGAGCCTACTGAGGTGCCCATGGCCAAGTCAAGGATTGGCCAATCGATTATCAAGAGGAAGGAGGAGGAGAAGCAGCAGGAGCAGGAGCAGAAGCAGCAGGAGGATCAGGAGGATCAGGAAACGGATCAGACCACTGAGCAATCGGAGGAGGATCCCGAGGATATCACCCCGTCCTGCGAGGAGAAGCCCCTAGAAGTCCTGGCCACAACCACCGATTGCTAGCTATTAACTAGCCAGAAACCCATCCTCCAATCCTTCAAAGTCCCCAACTCATCCCTGGACAAAAGGACTCCACAAAGCGGTCTCAATTAGATGAACGATCATGCCGGACCTCGAGACCAGGACCTGGCAACTCCAGAGGACCAGAGCAAAGCAAATGTATTTATTCCAGCCAGATGGACTCGAAAGGCTCTAAAGACCGTGCCCAAAGGATGCTCGGCAAAGGGGGCGTGTCCGGGGGGCTAGTAGGCGGGCGTGGGGGGGGTGGCAAAATGATGGACTGCAGTAAAATGTCTATGAAAATTGACTTGGTGTCCTGGCATTGAGAGGCAGTCGGGCGGAAGGAGCTGCCAGCGCCTGGATGCGCGTCAATTGACAAATTGTCGGCTGGCCCCCTCGTATTTCTTCCATTCTCAGTTCCAGTTACCATTTTCCATTTTCCATTCCTATGCCTCTTGCTGCTGGTCCTGAGAAAGTCATCAGAACTTTTGTCTAATTTCATTTCGTTTCACTTGAAGGCCAATTTTTTGGGTTTTTATTATTCATTCAAAATTTTCTCGTAGCGCGATTTTTGGCATTGCGTATACGCAGTGTGGTTCAGGGAATTATGAATTTTTAGAGGGGCCATGAGGGGGAGTATGGGGGTGTGTGTATATGCCTAAGCAAACAATGGACGAGCAGAGCTTTTGTTTATTTTCTTCCTCCGCTGTTGCTTATGTTGCTTATGGGTACACAGATACACAACAACACAGATACACGCACACACTCAAAGCGTGGCGAATTTTCGGTGCGTGCCTGTTTTTTGCTCCCCCAACGGGGGATATACCACCCATCAACCACCACCCACTACCCCCCATCCAGATCCTGTGTTGTGTTGTGTTGTGTATTTATGGAAACATTGCTCTGAAAATATTTTAAGAACGACCAACTCGGATGAAAGAAATACGAGGGATGCTGTGGCCAGTTTGGGGGTCGGTTGCTTAATGGTCGGGGTGCAGGTGCGGGAAAACCAGGGAAAACCAGAGAAAACCAGGGAAAACCAGAGCCAGCCAGACTCTGGAATTGATGATAATACCCACCGTGGCTGCCGAATACACAAACTCCCCGCATTTCACCGTCCAGAGTTCAGAGATGGAATCGAAAATGGGACAGCTGACACCGAAGATTCGGAAGGGAACAACTGCTGACTGGCCGATTATTGAGTGGCCAAGATGGGCATTACGATTGCCAGGGGTCAGATGGGAAACACAATACTTCAAAGCGGGGCACTCAAGGATGTAAACTTTTGGCAGACCGATAAATCACGTACCACTATTTATTTATTTGGCATTGTTAAAAAAACAATTATGGAAACAAAACACTTGGCTCAGAAGGACTTTCTTTTGGAATCAACTATAGATAACCTAAAATCTATTAAAAGCGTAGAATTGCTCTGAAATAAATTTATGAGATAATCTTAAAATAAAGCTGAATTTAATGAAATTTTTAACTTAAACAAACCTTAATAATACAATGATGAAACTAATATATAATAAATATAATTGTTAATATATTCAATATTAATAATTTAATTTCCATTTCATATATACCTTATACCTTATACCTTACCGAACAATAATACTGACAAGTGCTATAAATTGATTTATTTATTCATGTTATTAATATGATTCAGATAGAGTAGTTTACTAGAATGGCTAAAATTCAAAGCCAAGTTTTGTTGCACTGGTAATATTTAAAATTAAAATAAAATAAATCATTTATGTGTTTTTCCTATTATTATAAAAACATTGCCACGCATGAAAATCAAATGCCAATTAGCACTACCCAAAACTTTAAATTAAATAATTTTTCCAGTGAAAACACCAAGGTCTCAATGGAAATTGGGGAAACTGTGGGTGAAAATTCTCCTGGAAAGCACTCCGGAGATCATTTGTTATCCAGAGCGCTTTCACTGAAAACTTTCGCTTTTTCGTGCGACTGAATGTCTGACTGTCTGTCTGTTTGTCGCTTTTGGAGGACCAGGGTGTCCTTCGGGCAGCCAGCTGATGCCGAGGACAATGTCGGAGCGGAGGCTAATTAGCATCGTCAACAAGGGCCACCTTAAGGTCCTTTGGCCCATTTCCCACTCGGTGCCCCATCTGGCTGTTTTGCAACATGATGCACGCGTCCCACGCTGCGCAGGACTAAAATGAGGTGGCCTAATGATGATACAGGCCCCCCAGAAACCCACCCCCCCCCACCCAACAGCCAGGACATCCCAGGACCCCAACAATAAAAATGTCACTTTTGCGTGTTGGGAGCCAGAAGGAAATCATTTTCACCAAATCGCAAAATGTACACAGGAAACGCAAGGGGGAGTTGGGTGGAAAATGTGCTCTTATCATAAATCAGGAAACCACTGGCCACGCCCCCCCCCCCTCTTTGCCCCTCTCTGGAAGGCGTCTAATTAATTAATTAACAGCGTCTCATCATCATCGCCGTATTCTCAACTTCGTTGCGTGACAATTTCACCGAGTTTTGCATGAATTATTTGACCGAAAGCGAATTGTCAGCAGAAAAACATGGCCAACAATTAGCGAATGCCACTTGCACTTAGTTCGTTATCGGCACGCACGCTCTACCCCAAAAAAAAAGAAAAATACCTCCTCGAAATTAATGCGATGGATGCACGATAGTTGGACCAGTACCGCCTGACATTCCAAGTACCCTGGTATACATATATATTTAAGTATTATTCGTGCCTGGTGGCGACAAAGATCCGGCTGTTCCTCCATCCCAACGAACTTAGGCCCATTAAGAACACCTCGTCGCGATGTCGACGGAAATTCCACGGGCAACATTTAGCCGTAATGTTCATGTTAATGCCCATCTACCACCGATATCGAGCTGCCAGAATATAGCCAAATAATTATCATAAATTCGGCCGGCTATGGTTGAAATAATATGTTTTGTTCAGACAGCTAATAATAATATTCGGGAATAATAAAAAGGAACAATAATAATTCTTGGTAAACAGAATAATATTGAGCAAGTTAAATTTGCTAGAAAGTCTTTGAAAGTATTTTAATCAAAATTGTTAAATAAGAAATACAGCTTAAAGTCTCCCATAGAGCAAATTAACTTACTTGACTTTTTACCTACTAACTGGATTTACTTTAAAAAAGTCATGCCAATCCAGAAGATAAAGGCGCTACAAGTTACCAACATTTTATGAATGTACACATTAAATCCTGTTTAAAATTAAATTCAGTCAGTTAGTTAAAAATAAAGCCAGTGTCATGAGGCCTCTGTATAGAAAAGTAATACCTTGATTCCAAAATACACAAAGAAAAAAAAAAAATAAATGAACTTAACTCCATTTTAAGCTCATTTATATCAAAAATGAAAGAGGATGCACATTTTTATTCAATATTCCTAGCATTAATGTTATTAAACTTAAATCCTGTAATAGTTTTTGTCACCTTGCAAAAAATATTAACTTTTTAAAAGCCCAAAGCCCATTAGCTTTTTAAATGAAAATATCAAGCCTTTGTTACTTATATTTTTTTATGTACCTCGCTGACATTAATTCGATATATTTATTCTACATATTTTACTCGCATCGATTTTTTGCCAATTTATTGTTAAATTATTTGGTGTAAGCCTTGTTTAAAATTTATTTATATATTCCTTTTTCCCTGCCACTCAGCTGCAGCTCCTCTTATAATAAAAAAAATAACAACAGAAAACCGAAATCCAAAAAAAAGTTCACAAAACTGCATTTAAACAAATTTGATTGCTCGTTTGTCCGTGGTTTTTTTCGCTTTTCGGTTTTTTTTTTGCTATTACCAACGAAGCCCAAACATTTTGGCAAGTTTTAAACATTTTTCGTGTTGTGTGCCCCTCGGTGGTGCTGTTGTGTTGATATTACTGTTGATGTGGCGCATTGTTTGGCAGCTTTATGAAAATTTTAAGTACATCAAATTTTTATGATTTTCAACAAGTGTCTGTGTGTGAGTGTGCCCTTAAAATGGGGGCTGTGTGGCTAGAATTGTAAATTTGATTGCGAGTTTGCCACACACACAGATACAGACTTTATTGCTGCTGTTAATCCGCAAAAATTTGTAACATTTTCCAATTTGGTAATCGTCTGAATGTTTCAAAATGAGCGAAAATAATGTGTATTACGACGGGGACGGGGGTTATTTTCGGCGGTATTATGCAGAATTGTAATTCTAATTTGGTTTTTCGGGCAGCCCTAATTGACGATGAGCTCACGCGGTGTTTACCTGTCCACCCAATTATAAATTTATGGAGCGGCTTTAGTTGCAGTTTAAATGCGATTCCGGAATAACAGCTTAGTGCTTTTCCTCTCTCGCAAAATTCCCACCATCCAAAAAGTGGGCGAAAAAAAACACTGGCCAATTTTCCACGGGCCAAGGGGAAAATAGAAAAGTGGATTGTAGCCCGTCGGTTGTCAACTTTCTCGTGTGTACATAGGCTCCATTTTCACCAGTGGTCAGGGACGTTGTCTAGACTCTCGAAGGGATGCAGGATGTGAGTGTGGAAGTGGAAGTAGAATGTGAAAGTAGGATGTGAGTGTAGGATGTGAAAGTAGGATGTGAATGTGGTCCTGGATGACTTGTCAGCTGGCGCTCAAACGGTGTGACATTGATTTTCATTCGAACGACTCCGGCTCACAGACGAGCTCACAATTTCGGCCATCTCGGCTTTTTCCCCCTCATCGAATTTCCCGGAGACCGAGCCACTGAGACCAGCTGCTACCTAATTGGAAATTTCACATTGCTCCTTTGGCGAAAAAATGCGGCAGGATGTCGCCTTTGGCTTTTCCATTTTGGTACCCTTGCCTTGAAATCAAGAAGATGATGGAATTATGGCTAGGGGGTGTGGAACAGCCAGTAAAATCAAACGAAAGTTGCAATAAAGTCTCTTAAATTGCTATCTATTAATGATATAGTCATCTCAGTTATCTCAGCTTGCTGTGATTTTCACGAGCTACTTTGGAACAATAGAAAAAAAACCCTTCAATTGATAAATTAAATAAGCCAAGTAGTAGTAAAGGTCATATGACACTAACTTAAGTTGCGACTAACTTTCTGGTTTTTCTTAAAAAAGGTCTAACATTCATAAAATACATTTATAAAATGTTAAGCTGTGCATTATTTGGGTTGCAATGAACTTTTAAAATAAATGCATTAAGTTAAAGGAAAGTGTAAAAGTCAAGTGTCATAAGGC